CGAGCGTGTACAGCACGGATGGGAGAGTCTGCTTGAGCCACAAGGTTTGAGCTAAAATGGCTACGGAGGGCCCTCTTGGGCGATCTCGAGCGCCTCTTAGCCGTCTTGGGGCTCTCTTGGGCCGTCTTGGGACTCTCTTGCGCCATCGTGGCGCCCTCTTTGGGTGCCTCTTGGACTGTCTTGAGCTGATGTCTGGGGCCGGGACCTCGTGGGCTGTCTTGAGCCGTCGGAAGCACGGTACAGCGAGAACACGAAATGCCTTCAAAAATCAGAGACAAACCTATTTGTTTCGCCTCCTGAGTGCCTCGTGGGAGACCTTTTGAGGGCATCTTGGCCGTCTTGAAGCCTTCTTGGGCTGTCTTCAAGCCATGTTGGACCAATGTTTCAACGCTCTTGTGCGGTCTTGGGCTCTCTTGGAGCGCTCCTGGGCCATCTTGGCACCCTCTTGAACGTCTCTCGGGCCCTCTCGCCACCCCCCTTACCTCCTTTGACGCGTTCTGGCACCCCCGCCGGGTCCAAAACGGCTGGAAGACAAATCAGTGCACTCCTGGTCCCCCAGGGCCCCTTCCCAATTTAGTTAATGATTTATCTGCGTATAGATGCACTGCTATTCTTTTACTTTTTAACATACACACATATGTGTATATATATATACCTATACAAGTGGCACGTGTGTGCCCAGGCTCATACAAAAAAACTGAAGGGGCGTTTGAAGCAGGAGTGAAATGCAACATCGAAGTCGCACTCGAGCGCAAGTGGGGTTGCCACACCTTGCGATGTGTGTACCAGGACCCCCCAGGAAGCCTCAGGAGGCCCGACTTGGATACCAGAAGAGGCTCCAGGAGGCCCCAGGATTATGAGTGTTGTGCGTGTGTGTGTGTGTGTGTGTGTGTGATGTATGCTTTGTGTGGTGCGTGCTTTTTGTGTGTTGTAGGTGTTGTGTGTGTGTGTTATGTTTGTCTAGCGTGTGATGTGTTGGGCGTGATGTGTGTCTCTGTGTGCATGTAGTTCTGAAGCCCCAGGATGCCCCAGGAAGCCCCAGGCGGCCTCAGGAGGCCCCAGGAGACCCCAGGAGGCTTCAGGAGGCCCCAAGAGGCTCCAGGAGGCCGCAGGAGGCCCCAGGATGCCCCAGGAGGTTTCAGGACACCCCCAGGAGGCTCCGAGGCGGGGTCTGGGGTGCCAGAAGGTTCAGAAGGCCCAGCAGGCCCCAGGAGGTTCCAGGAGGCCCCCAGGAGGCTCCGAGGCGGGGTCTGGGGCTCGATTTTGGAAGGATTTTTCAAGCGAAACCGCCATTCCCTGAGAATCGGGGTCACAATTATTGAAATTACCATGTGTTTTTGAAGGTTTTATGTTAACATGTTGAAATTCCCATGTGTTTTTGGACCCTGACGTCACGATCTGCGTGAGGGGTGCCACCGATTTTCAGAATTTCGAGGATGTCCCGAGCGAAACGCCCAGAAAAATCGCGGACGCGTGCGCATTAATCGCCTCTGAGCTCTACTCCTTCGGAGAGGTGCGTATGAGAATATATATATATATATATACCCCCCGCCCCAGCACCCGCAAACGACGGAGCGGGGGGATGGGGGGGCATCGACCTCATCATCATTATCTTCCTCCTCCTGCTCCTCCGCATGGGGGCGCCCTCATTGCAGGTCCTGTGTACACCACGGCGCTTGTGTGCACCACAGCAACCGTGTGCAACACAGCACCATTGTTGCATGTAGAACGTTAAAAGGGTTCTTGATGACAAAATGGATCGCTTTTGGATTCCACCGAAAACACTAGAACATAATCCTTATGGACAAGGGAGCGCCAGGGGAATCTACGAGTCCTTCCGAGTTCGCCCGGATCACCGTAACTCCTCCCATCTGCGTCCAGGAGGCTCCACCTAAATTGGCCGTCCGAGAACCAAGTGGGCCGACTCAATGGACCGTTCTGCGGTGCACGCTGAGTTGCGCACGTGCGCTGTAGCGCCAACCCGCACGACATGGGGTAAGGAGGAGGAGGAGGAGGAGGAGGAAGAAAAAGAGGAGGAGGAGGTGGAAGTGGAGGAGAAGGGAAGAGTGACACACGTCGCATTCGATTATTAACACTTTCCTGGCGTGGCGCTTCCGAAGCATATCCTCACATACAAGCCCCTTCTACTTGTCCTATGCACGCAGGCACTGTGGTGTACAATAGCGTTGCGTTGCACGCGGATGTTGTGGTGTAGACAGGCGCTGTGGCGTGCACAGGCGCCGCGGTGCACGCAAGCATTGTGGTGTACACAGGCGCTGTGTTGCACATGGTTGCTGCGGTGTGCACATGTACACCTTCGCTGTAGTGTACGCAAGCGCTGCAGTGTACACAGGCGCTGCGTTGCACACGGTTGTTGCGATGTACGCAAGCGCTGTGTTGTACACGCGAGTTGTGGTGCACGCGAGCGTTGTAGTGTACACAGGCGCAGTGGGGCAGATCGCCACCTATGTGCTGCTCGCGTCGTCGTCGTCGTCGTCGCTTGTCGCTCGTCGCGTCGTGCACGCGGGCGCGGCTGTGCGCACCGTAGCCAGTTTGGCTCAAGCCATTTTGGCTCAAGCCTCCTAAGGTGTTTACAGCTGCTCTCGCCCTTACACACATTCCGATTTGATGCAGAGCTTCCTCGTGCTCTTCTGCTGCGCCGCCAGGCTGGTCAGCTCCCTCCGCCATCCCCAGGCGTCCGCGGCGCCCGCGCCGTCTCCGCGCCTGGCGGCTGCCGCAGACGCCCCCTCGCGGCGGGACCGGATCGCTGTGTTCTCCGCCCAATTTGGCGGTCGAGACCGTATTGCGTATAGAACGACAATTCATGGGGACATGGGTGAGGACACGGGTGATGAGGACGTCGGTTTCACTCGATGGGCTGAGGCATCTGGTCCGGCGGGGGAAAAGCTTCCAGATAGTGTCGATATGTTTCTTCATACCGATATGATCAACGTTTCGCAAAAAAACATTTCGGCATGGAAGTTCGTATACCCGGCGATGCAGTCAGAACAGCTTTGCGATGACAACGTATTATGTCAGTGGAAAGGGAGGCATCATCTCACGCCGTCCCAGAAAAAGATGAAGTCCATTTTGGCATCAAAGTTTTTCAAGATACGCTGGATTGCCGAAAGCACACAATATGATTACATACTCTGGATGGATGGTAAATATTTGATAAGAAACCAGAATCTGATTGAGACAATCAAGGAATATATGGGGAAGACTGTTGACATGCTTGTCATGAGACACCCTGGGAGAAAGCATGTTGCGCAGGAGGTGGGCCCAGCAAGCGAGCGTGCAGCGGATCTCTTGGGTGATCCTTCTGTCATCCAGAGAGCAAGAGAAATATTTGAAGGGTACTTGCATGAGGGTTTTTCTGATAAGATTGGACTCTTTGATTCAGCCATGTTCATCGTGAGACCAGCGCGCGTGCGTGATATGTTCATCGATTGGTGGCACGAAGTACAGCGAGGAGTTCCTCGTGATCAGATATCGTTGCCTTGGATGATCCAGAAGCATGGCATCAACTTCGTCTCCATAGCGCCTAAACCCTGTGCCGTCTTAGGCCGAGGCTGCAAGAACCCACATGTGCATCATTGAGAGCGCCGCCACACTGAACACGCACAACACACCACGCACACAGCACACATCGCACACGTTTTCATTCTCAGCGCGCGTTTGGCGCAGCTCGCGGTTGGCGCGCATTTGGCGCGTCGACTGCTTCGCCTTCTGGCACCTGACGTGTTTGTTGGTTGCCAGAAAGAGCGGCAAAAAAAAGAGGCACCCCTGTCCGCCCACTACGGTCCCAAGAGGGGCCCCCTATGCCACTCATGTTCTTTTCGTGCTGTTTCACCTTGTTTCACCTAGTGGTTACCCCAAGGGGTATGGGCTGCCTGGATGGCCGCATGTTTGAACCATCCAGTATCCTTCAGCTCGGCTGTTGCCGACATTTCTATAAGCGCGAGTGCGCGAGTGTCCACCCATTTTCGCATTGCTTGTATGTGTACGCGTCTTGGTACTGCTTGTTTTCACTTGTTGTCAAACCAAAAAAAAAAAAAACTACGGTCCCAAGAGGGGCCCAGGGGGGGAATTCGAACCCACATTTTGAGGCCTCCGTTCCAAGAGGACCCCGGAGATCGCCAGCAGGCCCCCAAGAACCTCCCCAAGAGGACCCGAAAAGGCTCCCAAGAGCCCCGAGAGTGGCCCCAAGAGATGTCAAAACTGCCTCCACGAGGCTGCCCAGAGACTTCCCCAGAGATCCGAACAGGCCTTCAAGAGGTCTCACACCAACAACCCAGGCCCGGTGGCCCCTCCCTTCTGTCCTCACATTTGGAGGTCTCGAGCCCGAGAGGCCCCCAAGAATCGGGTATAGCATTTTGGCTCAAGCACTTCTGGCTCAAGAGCCCTCGGTGCAAACCGCGCAGGCGGCGCCTGTCGGCAGGCGCGCCCGTGGATCCGCAGCGGTGGCCGCACCGCCCACCGCGGGTGGCCAGGCTGCGCCACGGGCCGATCTCCGCGAGGCGTCGCGGGAGGAACATGGACGACAGCGCAACCCCGCATGCGGCAGTGCGTGCGTGGTCGAGCACCGCAGGTTCGCAAATTCAGGACGTGCTGTTCGAGCTGAACAACAAGGTGGCTCAAGAGGCAGCGGACCAGCAGGCGATTACCGAGAGGATGATCGACGACAAGTTCGCCGCGATGAGACAAGAGATGTGGGAGAGGCTGGACGAGGTCATAAATCATACGGATGTCCAGCGCAGGGACTTCTTAGCCGTTTTGGAGGCCATCTTGGCCGTTTTGGAGGCCATTTTGGGTCATCTTGGAGAGAAGAGAAACAACTGTAGAGAGAGGGGGGTAACTCACAAGGGGCTGTGCGCATGCGATAACAGCGTAGTGCAAGTAGGAAATGCGGTCATGGGAAAGGACGACGAGGATCAGGAGGCGTCGGGCCATCATTTCTTGCGTATGCGACTTCCGTGCCGTTGCAACTGCCAACGCAGGACATCAACACCAACACCATCAATATCAACAGCATCATCATCATCATCATCATCATCATCATCATCATCATCATCATCGTCATCATCATCATCATCATCATTATCGTCATCGTCATGGTCAGGGCCACCCGCATCAGCATCATCATCATCATCATCATCATCATCATCCGCATCATCGTGACAGTAAACGCAACGATCATCATCGTCATCCGCATCAGCATCATCATCATCATCATCATCATCATCATTATCATCATCATCATCATCATCATCATCATCATCATCACTAGTATCATCATCATCCGCACCCGCGTCATCATCAGCATTCCATCATCGTCGCAATCATCACCACCATCGTCATCATCATCATCGTCGTCGTAATCGCCATCGTCATTCGCATCAGCATCGTCATCATCAACATCATCCACATCGTCATCACTATCACCATCATCACCATCGTCATTGTCGTTATCATTATCATCATTGTCATTCTCATCCTCATCATGTTGGGGTGGCCGTGCGCGGCCCGCGGACAGCGCCGCCCCCCCCCTCCCAGGGCCGCCGTCCCCCAGCGGAGCTCCCAGTCCTCCTCTTTCTCCTCTTCCTCCTTCTCTCCTTTCCCCCCCCCGTCTTTCTCCTTCTCCTCCTCCTCCTCGTCCTCCATTCCTTTTCCTTATAGAGAATTTCTCCCTGTCGCACCCCGATGGCAATTTTTAGGGCGGGCCTGGCGTTTCGCCTGAGACTGTCCCACCATTTATGACTCTGTAATTTGAAAGCGAAAACAGTTTCACAGATGACGGGCGGGTGGTTTTCAAACTGTGGCTTTCGCCCAAGCGCCGCGCGCGCTCGTTTTCAACAATTGCAAGGGTTCACGGATTGAGGGCGGGTGGTGTTCAGAATGTGGTTCTCGCCGAAGTACCGCGCACATTCGTTTTCAACATTGGCAGAAGTTTTACGGGTTTAGGGCTGGTGGTTTTGAAAATGTGGTTCTCGTGTAGCGCCGCGCACATTCGTGTTCAACATTTGCAATAGCTTCACGGATTGAGGGCGGGGGGTTTTCAAAATGTGGTTCTCGCCGTAGCGCCGCGTACGTTATTCTTGGACATTCGCAAGAGTTGCTTTGATTGAGCGCGGGTCTTTTCGCACTGTGGCTTTCGCCTTCGCGCCGCGCATGAGCTTCACGGATTGAGGGTAGGTCCTTTTCAAAATGTGGTTCGCGCATTAGCGCCGCGTATACTCGTTCTTGTTATCAGAAATTGCAAGAGTTTCACGGATCTCCCTGATCAGCGTACCAGAAATGGTGTTTTTGAAGGATTCAGGATTATGCGGGCGCAACAAATTAATTCGCTGTGCTGACATCCCAATAACGGCGTTTTGGCACGATTCCAGGTCGTGAAGAAGCAGCAGTCAGGTTGATACGTGGCGTGGACATACCGAGAGCAATGTTTTGGCATTCTTCGGGATCTTCAGACGGTTGTCTTCCGACGAGGCAGTTCCGTCAAATCGATGAAAATGAACCGTTGTTGAGGCCCACGGAGAGGGCGCTTGGAGGAAGGGTTCCTTCCAACATCGTGGATGACTCTTGGGCATCTGGGGGCCCTCGGCGGGCCCGGCACCGTCACAAAATGCCCAGGATGCCTGGGCCAGTTCGACGTCCTCCACAACTTGGCTGCTACAGTATTTGGGTGGGGTCCCCAGAAGCATTCCCAAATGGGCCCCAAGAAGCCACAATCATTTTCCTTAGGTTGCTGGTTCATCTTAGCGTTTCTGCCTGTTCGGCTCCCCGACGCTCCAAGACGGTACACGACACCCAAACATCGTCGAAGCAGGCTTCAACCGGGCCGCCGAGGCGGCCCAGTGCCGCCTCCCGACGGCTCCAGAAAGTTTTAACACTGCTGAAAAGGGCCGCAAGAGGTCTCCAAGAGGCCCCGAAACGCGGACAGATCGCTCGAACACGCCCAAGATGGCCTCCAGATGGCCCACAAAGCTTCCAGCACGGCCCACGGGGTCCCCGAGAGCATTCCCAAAAGGGCCCCCCAAAAACCAAAATCATGGATTTTCCTTCGGCGTGGGGCACATTTCAGTGTTCCTGCCTGTGCAGTTTCCCGACGCTCCAAGCCGGTCCCGAACACCCAAATATCGCCCAAGCAGGCCCCCACGGGGGCGCCGAGACGGCCCAGGCACGCCCCCAGACGGCCCAAGACAGCCCCAACACAGTTGAAAAGGGCCGCGAGAGGCCTCCAAGAGAGTTACGGTCACCGAGCTATCGTTCTAACGCGCCCATGACGGCCTGTGGATGGCCCGAAAGGCTTCCAACACGGCCCAAGGGGTCCTCAAGAGCACACCCAAAAGGGCCCCAAGAAGCCAAAAACGTTGATTTTCTTATGGTTTTCAGTGCGTTAGCGGTTCTGCCTGTTCGGCTTCCCGACGCTCCAAGACGGTGTAGGACACCCAAAAATCGCCCACACAGGCTTCCACCAGGGCGCCGAGACGGCCAAGGGCCGCTCCCAGACCGCCCAAGCAAGCCACAACATTTTTGAAAACGGCCGCGGACAGATCGTTCAAACACGCCCAAGACGGCCTCCAGATGGCCCACAAGGCTTCCAACACGGCCCACGGGGTCCCCAAGAGCACTCCCAAAAGGGCCCCAAGAAACCAACATCATTGCTTTTCCTTTGGTTTCTGGTACATTTCAGTGTGTTCCTGCCTGTGCAGCTTCCCGACGCTCCAAGCCGGTCCCGGACACCCACATATCTATTACCCCACCAGGCCCCCACGAGGGCGCCGAGACGGCTCAGGCACGCCCCCAGACGGCCCAAGACAGCCTCAACACGGCTGAAAAGGGCCGCGAGAGTCTTCCAAGAAGGTTACAGTCACCGAGACTGCCTGCGAGGCCTCTCCAAGGCAGCTCAAGAGCGCCCCCAACCTTGCGAGCTCTCCGCCCCTGGAGGCCTCAAGAGGCCCCCAGCGGCTCCCAAGACAACCCCAGGAGGCCCCAACAAGTCCTGTGGAGCCTCCCAGGATGCCCCCCAAAGGCACCGACCAACTCCCCACCAGTCGCCGTGAGACAGTCCTGACGATCCTCGACGCGGTCCCAAGAAACACGCGGCCCACGGGGTCACAAAAGGGCCCCAAGAAGCCAACGTCATTGTTTTTCGTTGGGTTTTTGGTGCATTTCAGCGTTACTGCTTGTGCAGCGTCCCGACGCTCCGACACGGTCCTAGACGCCCAAGTATCGCCCCAACAGGACCCCACGAGGGCCCCGTGACTGCCCATGCACGCACCCAGACGGGAACCAGGGGGAGCCTGTTCCTGGTTTTGGGGGGTCCGTCCACAAACCAGGGGGGTCTGTGGAGGGACGGCAGGGGGGAGTCCGTACACGGAACGGCCCAGGACCCGCCAAGAACGCTCCACGGGTAATTCCCAGAGGCCTACGAGAGGTGAGAATCAATGTTTTCAGAGCGTCCGAGATGGCCCGGGAGGCAGGCCAGATTACCCCAAGACGACCCGAAAAAAGGGGCGCCAACAACGTTCCAATTACCAATTGCAGTCAAAGGAGGCCCAAGAGGGCCCCAAAATGCCCCAATATTGTTCCGTAGTCTTTTGGCTCAAACCATTTTGAGTCAAACCATTTTGGACCCAACGGGCGGGTCGGGACTGGCGGGCGGGACATTGACGTATTATGCATCATCTAGTTGGCACGCGCGTGCCCTCGCGGGCGTGTCGGGTCAAGTCGAGCGGACCCTAACAAGCTGGTCGGGTCGGGCGGGCGCACCCTAACGGGCGAGTCTGGTCGGGCGGGCGGGACATTAAAGTATGATGCGTCGGGTTGGCACGCGCGTACCCTACCGGGCGGGTCGGGTCGGGTCGCCCGGACCCTAACGGGCGGGTCGGGTCGGGCGGAGCGGGCGGGGCGGAGCGGGCCTTAATGGGCGGGTCGGGTCGGGCGGGCGGGACATTAAAGTATGATGCATCATCGAATTGGCACGCGCGTGCCCTAACGGGCGGGTCGGGTCGGGTCGGGTCGGCCGGACCCTAACGGGCGGGTCGGGTCGGGCGGGTCGGGTCGGGCGGGCGGCTCCACCGACGACGACGACTGCGGCGGCGACGACGCCAACAACGACGACGCCGACGACGCCGACGATGACTACGACGCGGCTGACGCCGACGACGACGACGACGCCGATGCCGAGGGCGCGGACGGGGACGATGACGCCGACGCCGACGCCGACGCCGACGCCGGCGACGACGACGACGACGACGACTGCGGCGCCGACGACAACGACGACGCCGACGACGACGCCGACGACACCAACGACGACGGCACCGACGACGACGACGACGAAGGCGCCGACGCCGACGACGACTCCGCCGACGACAGCAACGGCGGCGGCGACGCCGACGACGCCGACGACGCCGACGACGACTGCGGCGCCGACGACGCCGACGACGCCGACGACTACGACGCGGACGACGCCGACGGCGGCGGCGACGACGACGGTTGAACCGAACGGGCGGACCCTCACCGAAGAGGTCCTCCCGAGGCCGCACAACAGGGTCTGCCGAAGCATATCTGCCGACGCGGACCTGCAATTCGCGCGCTCGGGGTAGCCCCTGGAGGACCCCGGACGAAAAGTACCCGGCTGATCCCCGGCGGAATCCCGTTCAACTCCCCCAGAACGCTCCAGGAGAGGACCAGCACGGCTCGGAGACGTCCCAGTCGCCGAAAGATCGCCCCATGTCGGTCACGATGGCCTCCAGACGGCCTCAGACGCCGAAGAAGCCCCGAGAGAGGAGGCCAAAGACGTCCCATGCCATTGGGAAAACATATATGCTTAACATATTCACCCTTGGGTGTTTCACTGCGTCCAAGATTGCCCACAAAGCCTCCAAGATCGGCCCAAAAAGGTCCAACGGGGCCTCCATTCGGGCCCAAGACGGCCCATTAGGACAGCGCGAAATTCGGCACGCACAACACTAGCAAATGCGCAAAGAAACACCCAGACAATCCCAGGTGTCGCACATCTCCGC